AAAGAATTAGAGTTAATTTCTATAAAAATTACCACCTTCTTCCTTGCCAAATTGTTCCCTGAGAGATTTGAAATTGAAAGGAAAGAAAGATTCTGAAATTGCTGCTGCTAAGTCACTTCAGTTGTGTCCGACTCTGTGCAACCCCATAGACGGCAGCCCACCAGGCTCCCCCATCCCTGGGATTCTCCAGGCAAGAACACTGGAGTGGGTTGCCATTTCCTTCTCCAATTCATGAAAGTGAAAAGTGAAAGTGAAGTCGCTCAGTCGTGTCTGACTCTTTGTGACCCCATGGACTGCAGCCTACCAGCTCCTCCATCCATGGGATTTTCCAGGCAAGAGTACTGGAGTGGGGTGCCACTGCCTTCTCCCTGAAATTGCTATATTAGCATAAACATGCCACATCTAAATTTTTGGCTAATTCTTCATGGCCACAGGATGAGAAACACAAAAGGACAATATTGCTTTCTTAAAGTATCTAATACCTAATATTCCCCTCCACATACAGACACAAGGATCTGACACAGAAAAGCCCCTAATAAATACCTACAGAAAGAGGGGATTGTCATAGTTTGAAAAAAAGGGAACACACAATGTTGAAGACATTCACTAAATGCAGGCATTTTGTCAAACATTCTACATACAGGATCTTAATCCTCAACACTATCTGTGAAATTTACATGGCCATCCCCATTAAGCAGTAAGGAAACTGAGCAGGAGGAGTAACCCAAACAATCTTACCTAATAAACAGCAGAAACTAGAACTCCTCAGTCCCACAGCTACACCTTTCCCTTCACTCAGGACATCCTTGATTCTTTCCCAGAACCCAGCTTAGGAGGAGGGCTCGGGCCTCGTAGCACGTGTCTTCAACAGAGAAAACCTGGGCTGTTACCTACTTTGCCATCACCACGTTCTACAGTTTTCTGTAATTCTCGAGAAGGCAAGAAGCAGCTGTGGTGTGGTGTGAATTGCAGTGGGGTTTGGAATCAAGTAATGTAGATTCAGGCCCCAGCTCTGACATTTATTTGCTGACCAAACTCATTTCCCCTTCATTTCATCAAGACTCAGTTTCCTCTTTTGTAAAATGGGACTGACACTTCCACCCAGAATCATTGCGAGACAAGCCAACTAATCAGGGTGTTCTATAATTGCCTGACCTGCCACACAGAACCCAGGAGATGCCCAAAGAAAGCATTTTTAAAGAAAATTGAACTCAGAAATTGTAGTCACCCCTCATGCATGAGACAATGACTTTGTTGAAAGTGTTGATAAATCTCCTTTTCAACAATAAAGCCTTCAGCATATAGAATGGTCACATAAAGATACAGAGGGAAGAGAAAAGAGAACAGGAGGCAGCAACCCTCACATTACTTACCCAGAGGGAAACACAGATTTTCCATTTCCTCTGATGGTAAAAATAAAGGGAGAAATAAAAACACCTCAAGGTCACACCAAGAAAATGTTGCAATCTCAGGCTGAAGCATAAATATAATTATGCCCCACAACTCTGGTGAAGTAAGTTGTCCAGTGGAAATAGATCAAGATTATATAGAACACCTGAGTTCTCCTGCTTGCTCTGCTCGTAAATCACGACTAATTTTTAAATCTCTTCCTAGGTACCTCATTCTTCTTCTACACAAGTTAAGTGCTTGGACTATACTGTCTTTATGATTATTGTATTTGTGCACATAGACTCCTTTAGTCCTAGTTGATTTAGTTTTAATTAGGAAGTTCTGCTTAGCTTAACAAATGTCTTTTCGGCAACAATTGATTTGACAATATCATCTTTCCTTCTTCTTTATTTTGTATATAATATGTATTGTATATAATATATATAATATATAAATTTTATATATAATAAATTATGTTTTGGCTGGTCTCAAACCATCTTTGCATTTAGGGGCTAAACCCTGCTTAACATATTATTCTTTAAATAGTCTGGATTCTATTTTTATCACTTTGTTTAGACTTCGAGCAACATTATTCTTAACAATGGTCTAATGTTTGTTCTTTTTTTTTTTTTTTGTCCTTCCTTATCAGCATTAAGTATCAAGACTGTGGTCACTTTTCAAAATGAATTAGGTATAGAACAGACTTTTGGACTCTGTGGGAGAAGGCGAGGGTGGGATGTTTCAAGAGAACAGCATCGAAACATGTATATCATCTAGGGTGAAACAGATCACCAGCCCAGGTTGGATGCATGAGACAAGTGCTCAGACCTGGTGCACTGGGAAGACCCAGAGGGATCGGGCGGAGAGGGAGGTGGGAGGGTGGATCGGGATGGGGAATACATGTAAAACCATGGCTGATTCTTGTCAATGTATGACAAAAACCACTACAATATTGTAAAGTAATTAGCCTCCAACTAATAAAAAAATAAAAAATTTAAAAAATGAATTAGATCTTTTTCTAAAGCCTGGGATAGCTTAATTAACATTAGGATCATTCATCCTCTAAAGGTTAGGCAAAAAATTATTAGCTGTGAAGCCATCTACTCAGGAAGCTTTTAAAAACTTTGATCATGGGTCTTCTTTCTAAAATCCTTTACAGTAGTTGGATTTTTCAAGTTTCTACTTCTTTGTGGATTGGTTTGGGTAATTTGAATTTTAAGATAATAAAGTTTCACGTGTAAGGAAATAGTTGCATGTAACAGTCCCTCTTAGTCTCTTCCATTCATATAGCCATTACCTTTTTGTTTCTAAATTTTACGTATTTTTAGTCTCTCTTTTCCTTCATCAGATTCCTGAGGGCTTTCTCCATTTATGTGGCCTTTTTCCAAAAAAATGGCTTTTGGATTTACACATCCTTTTTGCTATTGCCTTTCTTTTTGTATTGTTTATTCTAATTTTTATCTTTAATATTTCTTTCTTTCTAGTTTTATGTTTATTTTCTAATTTTTTAAGATAGGCAATAAAACCTGTATTTTTGTCTTTTTTCTTTAAAATAAATATGAATAAGGCTATAAGTTGGCCTTTGAGGTCAACCTTAACTGTGTCTCATAATTTTGGCAGGAAGCATATTTTGTTCTCCACTTTTACTCAGCATTTTCATTTCCCATCTTTTTCTGCTCCATTCTAAGCTTCCAGAACCCTACCCTCCTGGACTATATCACCCAGATTCTCTTGATGGACAGATTTCAGTTGAGTTTGGCCCATGGGAGGCATCAACATGAAGAAGGAAAGAGGAGTCCCACCCTGCTTCCTCCTGTTCCATCCCAGCAGATTTCGCAGTGGCTGTGGCTACACTGCTCTCAGGCAGCTTCTCTCGCATAGATACAGTTCAGGCTGCAGTCCTCTAACACTGTCTCTTCACTTTGTCTGTTTAAAACAGAGAGCACCCTTCTATTGTCACTAGTTTTGGGGTGCCCCAACTGTCTTTATTCTCTTGACTTTGCTGAAAGCTTTTAAATAATCATTTTACAAAAATCTCTACAGTTGAACCATCAGAATGGAGTTCTGCTTCCTGCTGGGGCTCTGACTAATACAAAATATGCATTGCTCTCTGAACAGTTCAATTCAAAATGTATGTCTTTTTTTTTGTCCAGTGCTAAGTGGATTCAGTGGTGTCCAACTCTTTGTGACCCTATGGACTGTAACCCACCAGGCTCCTCTCTCTATGGGGCTTTTCAGGCAAGAATACTGGGGTGGGTTGCCATTTCCTTCTCCAGGGAATCTTCCCAACCCAGGAATTGAACCCACATCTCTTATATCTCCTACATTGGCAGGAGGGTCCCTTACCACTCGCATCACCTGGAAAGTCCCTTTGATCCAGTATCCATATATTACTTAGGAGAGTATTTTTTAATTTGCAAAAATTAAGGTTGTTATCTTTTCTTTAACACTTGTTAGAACTGTAGAGACTCAGGGGGAAAAAAAGTATACCTCTCATGCATGTCTACTTAGTAAGCTACTAGAGGATATGCTCCATCAAGATAGGAAAGTAAAGCAAGAAAGAATTTATAGGACCCAGAAAACAGGATCTAATGGGCAATAGGCTAAGAGACTTCCCCAGTGATTGGGATGGAAGCCCTCAAACACCAACAAAGCAATCTAGAATGGAGCAGGAATAATGGGATCACCAAATGATGTTTCTAACAAGAAAAAAATGGAAACTTGGAACTAATATATGTTTGGCTACATTGAGGGAAGAGGTATAAATATTTCTGAGTTTAGAAAACATTTATGATGAACACCTAGATAACTAACAAATGAAAGAGATAACTCAGTGTTCAAGAAGAGTGACAAGTTGGATGAAAAAGGAAATATCTGAGAACACTACATGGTTTATCTGTGAAAAATGTTTACATGATCACGAACATATAAACCCTGACTACTGATTTAACCAAAAACTCATATATTGTGATTTGAAATAGCTCAACTGGAACTCCATCATATCCACTAGTTTTGTTTGTAGTGATGCTTCCTAAGGCCCACTTGACTTCACTTCCCAGGATGTCTGGCTCTAGGTGAGTGATCACACCATTGTGATTATCTGGGTCATGAAGATCTTTTTTGTACAGTTCTGTGTATTCTTGCCACCTCTTCTTAATATCTTCTGCTTCTGTTAGGTCCATACCATTTCTGTCCTTTATTGAGCCCATCTTTGCATGAAATGTTCCCTTGGTATCCCTGATTTTCTTGAAGAGATCTCGTCTTTCCCATTCTATTATTTTTCCTCTATTTCTTTGCATTGATCACTGAGGAAGGCTTTCTTATCTCTCCTTGCTATTCTTTGGAACTCTGCATTCAAATGGGTATATCTTTCCTTCTCTTCTTTGTTTTTTGCTTCTCTTCTTTTCACAGCTATTTGTAAGGCCTCCTCAGCCATTTTGCCTTTTCGCAATTCTTTCTCTTGGGGATGGTCCTGATCCCTGTCTCCTGTACAATGTCACGAACCTCCATCCATAGTTCATCAGGCACTCTGTCTATCAGATCTAGTCCCTTAAATCTATTGTGATACTGTGAGGCAAGTAGCATGAGGGAGAGAGAGGTTGTGTGTGTGTTCAATCACTCAGTCTTGTCTGACACTTTTGTGACCTCATGGGCTGTAGCCCACCAGGCTCCTCTGTCCATGGGATCTTCCCAGCAAGAATACTGGAGTGGGCTGCCATTTCCTCCTCCAGGCATCTTCCTGACCCAGTGACCAAACTTGCGTCTCCTGTGTCTCCTGCATTGGCAGGCAGATTCTTTACCACTGAGCCATCTGGGAATCCCTAGGTATAGATAGAGATTAAAAGGCATGAATTCCTTAGTTTCACAATAGAATGCCAATTGACAATACATAAATTGATACATTTTAAAATAGCATAATAAGCAGATTATTTAGGAATCTGGAGGTAAATACCAAGAGTAGCTTACAACGTTGAAGGAGAGAGAAAAATTACAACTAACATTGTAATTTACAGTCTCATTCAGGACTGTAAAGGAGAGGGCAAAAGAATTGTGTTGTGTGTTGTGGTAGCTGTTATAAGCCTTCTTATTCTATTTGACTTTTTAAACTACATAACTACATTAATATAGCTATGATGTGACTTTTTAAACCATGTAAGGTATATTATATTTATAAGTTAAAAGTTTAAAATAGAAAGATAAGGAATCTAAGAAACTCAGGTTTCCCTCACTCAGGCAACCAGGGAAAAGAATTATCTGGGGAAAAATGAAGCCTTTACTATTATAGTATGAATTACATTAATTGTCTCCTATGTCTACATTTCAGCAGTCCACTGATTCAGGGTTTCCCAGGAGGTTTTTTAGGACATGTGGGGAAGACGTGTAGCCCAAATCTGCTCCTCAAAAATCTTAGAGACTTTGCTTCAGCTCAAGACACACTGTTTCATGTTCATAATATCAACATTCATTATACCCTAACTACCAAACTCATGTATGTATTATTAAATTTTTCAAATTTGGTAATTTACTGCTTGAAACTTGAGAGCAGCTTTACTGTTTTTTTCATAGCAATTAAATTTTCCCCTTAGTCATCTGCCTCCTACACTCTCACACTTAACAAATCTTCCTCCAGTATGATGTGGGGAAGGTTTTATAGCATATATCTGAAAGAGCCCATCCTCAGCACAACAAACCAATTAGCTGCTAAGAAAAACACTGCAGAGTTCCCTTGCCATTTATTTTGACTTAAATCTTGTGTTTTAATAATAGCTCAGCAAAACAGGGAACACTGACAATGTATCAGGACTGCAGCTGTTGAAGCTTCTTTGTAGACCATGCAGGACCATCTTAAGCAAACAAGAGACAGGACCCCAGGCCTGCAGATCATTAACAGTGGAAGTCTGTAGATCATTAAGAAGGTGAAGTTGGGGACTTCCCTGGCAGTCCAGTGGTTAAGAATCCGTCTGCTAGTGCAGAAGACACAGGTTTGATCCCTGGTCTGGGAAGATTGTACGTGCCTCGGGGCAGCTAAGCCCATGTCCTACAGTTGCTAAGCCTGTCCTCCGCAAAAGGAGAAGCCACTGCAAGAAGAAGCCCGGGGACAGCTAGAGAGCAGCCGCCTCTCGCCACAACTAGAGAAAGCCCACACAACAATGGAGATCCACAACAGCCAAAAATAAATGAATAATGATAATCAACTTTAAAAAGAAAAAAAGAAAGTGAAGTTGATATTTTTAAACACTTGGGGTATGGATCACAACAAACAACCATAGATTATTTACTACGAAGATTCTGTTGATAAGCTATAAGCTTCTTAAGAGAAATATCCTAATGTTTCATAAAAATTGCCACAAAGTTTGACCACATGATGTGAAAGAAAGGGAAGAGTCCTAGTTCACAGATTTCCAATTCTAGTTTGAAGACCCTAGAATTGCAGGAAAATTAATCAAGAGCATCCACGGCAGACAGGGTAGACTGACAATGCAGCTCCAGAGTCCTTCAAAACCTGCACATTCCTTTTTTATTCATCATCTCACACCTGAAAAAAATTAAGGCCTCCAGGAATGAAGAAAAAGTCACCCAGCATCACACAGCTAGCAGATGGTAAAGCTTAAACCAAATTCAGGTCTGTGGATTCCCGGTTTAATGTTTTGCCACCATCTTTTGCTGCCTTTCTTATTTTAGGTGCTTTTCTACATATGGAAACTAAAAATGTATCCCTTTCTGAGAGTTATGGAGATGTTGCTACTCTGCATTTTCCCTAAGGAAAGAAGTTTGATAAATTATTTAAATATCCACTTTTCTCTGCTAAAATGTACACTATGTGTTTCTCTAAGTAAAATGTGAAAACACTTATTTTACTGAGCCATTTATATTCATCATTTTTCTTCTGAAAAGCTTCCCTTCTCCCATATCTATTGCTTTGGAAACCTCTGGAGATATTATAATGAAATATTGATTGCCCTCTCTCTCATCTCCACCCTATTCCTAGTCTAATAACCCTACAACTCCAGAATAATTTTTGTTGAGGAAGCAGTAATTCAGAAATCTGTTTGTACATTTTTTAATTAATTTATTTTTTATTGAAGGATAATTGCTTTACAGAACTCTTCTCTTTTCTGTCAAACCTCAACATGAATCATTTTTTAAAAAGAAAATTACACTGACTGGGGACTATGCACCAGCATTTCACACATTAGCTATTTGGAGTGTCTCCTATTGCGATATTACATTGCATTAACAGGCAGAACTCTGAATTACTGCATCCAGAAGGGAATCTTTCAAGTCCCTGGGGATGATCGAATCAATTAAGATGATGATGGTTAAAAAGCAAAGTTTTCCCCAGAACAGCCCAGGAAAAGCCCTGGTCTACACCTGTTTTAGCTTTAGTCCTTCCAGCAAAGTCACCAGGCACACACCATATGCTAAGGATTCTCCTACATAAGGATACTTCTTCAAGACCAGGAGAGGTAACTGTTTCACCTAATTCAGAGACAAACACAGGAAATTAAACAAAATGAGAATTCAGAAGAATGTGTTCCAAATGAAAGAACAAGATAAATCCCAAGGAGAAAAACCTAATGAACAGTGATAAGTAAATTATTTGATAAAGATATACAAGCAAGAGTCATAAAAACATTCACTGAACTCAGGAGAAGAATATAGGAACGCAGTGAGACTTCAACAAAGAACTAGAAAATATCAAAAAGAGCCAGTCAGAGCTAAAGAAAACAATAAAACGAAGAACACAGGAGAAGGAATCAGCAGCAGATTAGGTCACACAGAACACATAAGTGACACAGAAGACAGAATAGTGGAAATCACCCAGTTAAAACAGCAAAAAGAATTTTTAAACATGAGAATAGTTTAAGGGACCTCTGAGACCGTATCAAGTGCACCACATTCACATGAGAGGGGGTCAGAAGGTGAAAAGATAAAGAAAAGGGCAGACAACATATTTGATGAAATAATGACTGAAAATATCTTCAATCTGGGGAATGAAACAAATATCTGGGTCCAAAAAACACAGAAAGTACAAGCAAAATGAACCCAAAGAGAAAGAAAAGAGAACCCTACCACACTGTTGATGGGAATGTAAACAGCTACAGCCATTATAGAATATATTATGGAGGTCCCTGAAGAAATTAAAACTTCAAGCATGATTCAGCAATTCCACATCTGAGTATTTATCCTAAGAAAACAAAAACTCAAAAAGATATTCAGCCCAGTGTTCACTGAAGCATTATTTACAAGAGCCAAGATAAGGAGGCAACTTAAATACCCTATCAATGAATGAATAAAGAAGATGAAGTATGTGAATACAACGAAATATTACACAGCCACATGAAAGTGAAAGTCGCTCAGTCATGTCCGACTCTTTGCGACCCCATGGACTATACAGTCCATGGAATTCTCCAGGCCAGAATACTGGAGTGGGTAGCCTTTCCCTTCTCCAGGGGATCTTCCCAATCCGGGGACTGAATCCAGGTCTCCCGCATTGCAGGCGGATTCTTCACCAGCTGAGCCACAATGGAAGCCCACTATAAAAGAATGAAATTTTGCCAATAGCAAAACATGGATGGAACTGGAGGATAATAGGTAAGGTGAAATTAGTCAGACAGAGAAGGACAAAATATTGTATGTTTTCATTTATGTGTGGACTCTTAAAAAAAAAAAGCAAATAAACAAAACAGAAAAAAGCCTCACAGGTATAGTGAACAAACTAGTACGGTTGCCAGAGGGGAGGAGAGTGAAAGCATGTGTGAAGCGGGTAAAGTGGATTGAGAGGTGCAACCTGCCAATTATAAGTCATAGCAGAGTATACAGTCAATCATGTTTTTAATAACTTTGCATGATATGTAATCTATAAAAGTACCAAATTACTATACTCTACACTTGAAACTAATATAATATTGTAAATCAGCAATATGTTAATAAAATAAATAAAAATAAATTGAGACAAAATAAAATCAGATTTTAAGCTTTGGGAATGAGGATGAATCATTTGAGACTCCACTGTAAAGGACACAAGTTTAGCTCCTGAGTAGGACTGGGGTTTATAAGCCTTTCATAGCGCATCCCAGCTTGCACCAGCTCAGGATGGAGAGCAGTGCTGAGGGTAGGTCCCAGGCTTCTTTGGAAAGGGTCCCGTATCACTTTTGATCTGATGAAATATGTTCTGGATTTAGAATCAGAATCCCCTAGTCTGAAACGTCACTCCATTGCCTACTGAGTCAGTAAACATCTAATTAACTTCTCCTCAGTTCTCCCATTTGTAAACTATTGATAAATATGGACCATATTTTCACTGATATTGTGAGAATTCAAAGAGATAATTCATGTTAAAAGTCAACAAATGCCTACAGATCCTTAAGAAATGTAGTCTTCTTTCCCTTGAGAATAAAAGGTAAAAAAAAATAAAAAAAAAACCCCACAGTGTTACTGTTTCTAAAGAGACACTGAGTAGTTTTTCTCAATAAAGTTAAAGTGAAAGTTAAGTCGCTCAGACTCAGTCATGTCTGACTCTTTGCGACCCCGTGGACTGTAGCCTACCAGGCTCCTCTGTCCATGGGATTCTTCAGGCAAGAATACTGGAGTGGGTTGCCATTTCCTCAATAAGGTGCTAACAAATCAGTCTCCCATGGATGGTCATTATGAAATGAATCCCTTTGTGAAATTATGCCAGTAAAACTACTAAGTAGCAGAAAGCAGAAGAAAGTCTAGACTAGACGGGCTATTCTGCTTTTCAATTGCTGCATATTTTTTAAATAAAACCACCCTAAAAGTTAGCCACTGAGATCATCAAATGTATCATTTATTTCATGGTTCTATAATTTGAACTCAACTGGGAAGTCCTATGGGTCTTGCTTAGGGCATCACATAGTTTCAGCCACATGGTGGCTAATGGGGAGCTACCCTGGAAACTGGGACAAGTGGGCCTCTCTCCTTGTTCACGGGATCTTGATGCCTCTCCTGCCCACATGGTCTCTCCAGCAGGGTAGGTGGACTTCTCCTGGTAGCTTACTGCTTCCATAAAGTATGTATTCCAAAAGAGGAGAAGAAGCTTTTCAGGCCTTCCTAATGACTGGATTCAAATCCTAAAAATATTACTTCCTCCACATTTTACGGTAACGCAATCCCTGGCCCAGCCCAGATTCAAGGGGTGGGAACCAAAGATCTATCCCACAGGCCTTGGGGTCCACTGCAAAGTCTAGATGACTGATGGTCCCGAATAACAGTAGCTCAGAGTCATGCACACAGAACAGGTTCACTAAGTAAATGTCAAATGACTGGACACATACATGATTCTACTTAGAACAGATGAATGTTTCAAATCTTGATTAAATAAAATCAAAAAGAGTTAAATCTGTGGCTGGCATACCTACAGCAGCCACCATTTAGAATGTTGTTAGGTTCAGCAGTCTTTGCTTTTCCACTTTTTTCCAGTTGCCCATTTAACCAGCAACTGAGTTGATGGGTTAGTTAGGAGCTTCCAGTAGAAATATTGCTGATTTACCACCTACTATTTTAAAAGTGAATATGCCTTGGGACTTCCCTGGTGGTCCAGTGATTAAGACTTTGTCTTCTAATACAGAGGGTGCAAATTAGATCCCTGGTCAGGGAGCTAACATCCCACATGCCTTTTGGTCAAAAAAAAACAACTGAAACATAAAACAGAAGCAATATTGTAACAAATTCAATAAAGACTTTGAAAATGATCCACATCAAAAAAAAAAAAAAATCTTAAAAAAGGGGGGTGGGAATATGCCTTGATGTGGTCATAACCAATTTAACTTGGATTTGTATATATGGTTGCTATTTTCAAAATACTTCTGCTCATTTCTTCCAGGTCCTTTAAAAAGCAGGATCGCATTGATTCTGTTTGTTTGTTTGTTTTGCTTTGTTTTTTGTGGCCCCAGGGATCAGGTCAATGTTTCCCTGGGAAGGAGGTCTCCCAGAACAGGTAGTTTCAGGAGCCTGGAAAAAGAGACCCACAAATCTGGGACTCTCTCACCTGCTGATTGCTTCCTGGGAGCAAAGTGTTTGATTCTACAAAGTGTCAACTAAAAACTTAGTCATAAGCCAAAAGTAAAGAGTTATTTTATTTGGTTGGAATGTTAAGGACTTCGAGCCCTGGACACAGCATCTCAATGACCCCAAGAAAACTGCTCCAAGGAGGCAGGAGAAGGAGTCAAGCTATATACAAGTTTGCAACAAAGAGGGAAGGCAGTCTAAACATCAAAATTATTGTTAAGTAAAGGAAAACCTTCCCAGCTTCTCCGGTGGCTCAGCGGTAAAGAATCCACCTGCAATCCAGGAACCACAAGAGACCTGGGTTCAATCCCTGGATGGGGAAGATCCCTTGGAGGAGGACAAGGCAACCCACCCCAGTATTTTTGCCTGGAGAATCCCCATGGACAGAGGAGCCTGGTGGGCTACAGCCCATGGGGTCACAAAGAGTCGAACACAACTGAAGCAACTTAGCATGCACAAAGGAAAACCAGATATTAAGCTAAGGAATTTACCTTTCTTCTATGTATGGGAAGGTACATGCCTTTGGGCTCACTGAATTCATTCCTTTCATATGCACCTCAGCTATCTGGGGCCAAATCCTGTTTCCTGATTGTTTACATCTTTAATTCCTTGTTCACCATACGGAGCAGCAGATGTAGCGGATAGCTGCTACTTGCATTACCCCACTTCCTCAGCAATCATCATGGGGGTTGGTGGCATCTGCTGGATTGCAGGCAATGTGTTGTCTGTTGGGAGACTTCATTCACATTTGGGGCTTCCCTGGTAGCTCAGCTGGTAAAGAATCTACCTGCAATGCAGGAGACCCCGGTTCAATTACTGGGCCAGGAAGATGCCCTGGAGAAGGGATAGGCTACCCATTCCAATATTCATGGCTTCCTTGGTGGCTCAGATGGTAAAGAATCCACCTGCAACACGGGAGACCTGGGTTTGATCCCTGGGTTGGGAAGATCCCCTGGAGGAAGGCTTAGCAGCCCAGTCCAGTATCCTTGCCTAGAGAATCATCACAGACAGAGGAACCTGGTGGGCTACAGTCCATGGGGTCTCAAAGAATCGGACGTGACTCAGCAACAAAGCACACACAGCACAGCATTCACATTTGGAGATCCCAAATCACTAATGGCTATGACATTTCTTGCCCACCAATATGGCGGGAAATATTTCATTTCACAAAAGTAAAGATCTGGTTTGGAAGAATAAACAGGGTAGAATCCTCACCAAGATATCCATGGTGGTGATGTTGGTGGGGCTCAGTCGTGTACAACTCTGTGTGATCCCATGGAGTGTAGCCAACCACACTCCTCTGTCCATGGAATTTTCGAGGCAAAAATACTGGAGTGGGGTGCCATTTCCTCCTCCAGAAGATCTTCCAACCCAGGGATCAAACTCATGTCTCTTGCATCTCCTGTATTGGCAGGCAGATTCTTTACCACTGCACCACTTGGGAAGTCCCAAGATACCAGTGACCACTGCTAAATGCTCCAGGAGATCAGGTTACAAAAGGATGTTAGAATAAGAGCACCCTAAAATGTAGAGAGAGTGCGTAGACACGAGGATCTTGGGGTAAATTTTCAGTTGTATCCTTCCTCTCTTCTCCAAAAGCTGAGCCTGCTTGAAACTCAAGTTAACAAGGAAATGTTGACTCTATAAACTGACCCAGCCAATCCTTCAGGAAAGACAACCCTTCACCACTTGCTCAGTTTCTTCTTTCCCCAGTCCTTGAGACTTTTCAGGCTGATACTCAAGAGGCCCTCCATAATCCATCCTACATTTCTACCCTGCTATTATAAGATACATAGGAGACCCAATAAATACCTGTGGGAGGAATAAAAAGTAGGAATGACACCATCCCTTCCCACTTAACATGCCTGCATTGCCACACTAAAGGGCTTACTATTGTCCTCCCTGCCTCCCACACACACACACAAATTACCACTTTTACCTTTTTTTGTACAGGTGATCCCTCCATCTGATATGCAGTATCCCATGAAATTTCACCACTGAAATTATATTTGTACTTCATAGTTTGGTTATAAATCCCTGTCTTCCAGGAAATCTCCCCAACTCTCTTCATCTATAAAGAATCCCTTTTCTTCTAGGTCAATCAGTTCATCATAACTTCTAAAATAACAAACACAAACTATGCCCAGTATTGTCATTAATCTGACAGAATTTTCTGAATGATAAATTAGGAACTAGAGGATACATATCTGAATAAGGCAAAGTGCTACTCTCAAGGAGTGGAAAATCTAGTAGACAGAGTTTTTAAATAGTCACAATATTGTAAAATAAGAACAAAAGTATACATAAGATTTAGAAAGCAGAAAAGAAAAACTTTGGAGAAATGTAAGCATCAGAAGACTTTGAAAGGAAGTAGAGCAGGATTGAGGAAATGGAAAGACGGCATTCCATCCTTCATACTAACCATTAGCAAAGTCTTGAAGATCTGAATCTCCATGCCATGTTTGCAATTCCATTTGGCAAGCAAGTTGTAACTGATGCTAGTGGTCAAGAGAAAGAGATCAGAGCACTGACAGCCTTGGACTCCACCTGATGAGCTTGAACTTCTCATGGATGTGACAGAAGGTCATCGTCACATTTCAAGCAGGAACATTGATCTTTTCTTGTCCATCTTTGTAACCTAGGGTCAACAAGCACAGTGCCTGGAAATAACAATAATCAAACAGACATTTATTGAGTGCTTACTGTATGCCTGTCACTGTTCCAGGCATTTTGTACACATTAGCTGGTAGGCACTGAATAAAAGTTTATGCCATTAAATTAAATGGAATTGCAGCTCCATCCCTACCAGACTGAGTGAAAATAGAAACTGTCATTAGATCTTTAGCAGAGTGAGAGAATTATGAGTTTAAAGAAGTTTGGTAATGAAAAGGGATCAGAATAAAAGAGAGAATCTGATTATTCCTCAACTAAAGGCCAAACCAGAAAGACTCAGGTAATAAAATAAGAAGGACAGGTAATATTTTAAGTGGTAAAAGAGCTAGAGAGGCTTTATAAACACTTTAGAGAAGAAATAGGTAAACCACAGAGAAAAATAGGCCTTCTAATAAATGAGTAGGAAAAGAGAATTAACAATAAATGAGAGCAGCTGAAATATTAAACTCATCCTTTGCAAGAAAAATGAAAGAAAATAACTTAGATTCTTAGCAAGTAATACAAATCTTGCAAAATACTTAATAGGGATAGAAATCTAGTGAGGAAATATTCATTAAAGTTAATTCATCATTTTAAAATAGCACAGAGCCCTCACAAGGTATGTTTCAACCAGGAATCAGATCAGAGTTAGTTCTCTCCTTCCTCAGTATGGCTTCCAAAGACATTGACTCTTAGGAGAGACTAAATGTACTGTGATGGTCCACCTGTGAACGTGGCCTTTGGGACACTGCCAAGAAAAGGGGACGCTGGGAACAGTAGGCGTATGTGGGGGCAATGCTAGAGTGGGGGGTAGGGATGACTCTAGTCTCATGATAACACCCTCCTCCAGTAAGAGCACTACTAAGCTCCTGAACTGCTCAAACTCTCAGCTGGAAGCCTATTTCTCCTATCTTTCTGAATCTGGCTTTTTGGTTTTTTGGGGGTTTTTTTTTCCTTTCTGCTGTAGATCAGGAGTGCTTGATCGATGCAAAAATAATTTCTTTTGTTCTTCCAGTCCATCATTTTCTACATGATGTTTTCTGTAAGAGGGAGTAGGAGAAAAATGAGAGAGAGAGAAAAGGCAGTGGGGAAGGAGAGAGAAACTGTGTATGTGTAGACATGTTACTGGGATGATATCTCTGCAAACTCTGGAAAATGTCCTGAAGCATTGTTTACTGGCATAACTGTCAACCTGAGAATTTTATCTCTCTAGCAGTGAGCCCTGACTCACTGACCACAGTGATGACCAGCAACCCAAGAAAACTGAGACGTCTGGAAAATTGGGGAAGGGGGAGGACTGCAAGAAAAAGAGAACCAGGAGGTTAGGAGGAAGGTGATCCAGGTTGAAATTAATAGATAATAAATCAAATAAGCATGATTTTCAGGGTTTCTCAGGTGGCACTAGTGGTAAAGAACCCACCTACCAATGCAGGAGGTATAAGAGATGTGTGTTTGATCCCTGGGTTGGGAAGAGCACTTGGAGGGCATGGCAACCCACTCCAGTATTCTTGCCTGGAGAATCCTGTGGACAGAGGAGACTGGCTGGCTACATTCCATAGGGCCACAGAGTCAGACATGACTAAAGCAACTTAGCATGCATGTATGATTTCAAAGCAGAAAATCTGAGGGGGAGGAGGTCCCATAAAAACAACAAATGGAATTCTTATCGGAGCATATTAGCTGTTCTGAAGAAAATAAAGCAGGGACGTTATGTCAAAGAACCAAAGGAATAGGCAGTCACATGGTCAAGACACTGTAATAAAAACTGGGCAAAAAGAAAGACAGACAGGGAAGCCACAGTTTGAACCAATGACAAAGACCAATCCCAATGAAACACAGTGAGTGTCAAGAAGGCTCTTGATAAATGAGTAAATGAACGAAGAAATGAGTAAGTAAGAGAATAAACCAAGTGTCTTGGTATCCTTGGTGTCCCAGAAGATAATGGCCAATCACAACACTCTATGAGACTTTTCTACTGAGGGTCAAGCCTTCTGATGATGGTTCAAGCAATTCTACCTGCAGACAACAGGCATGTTCAGATTATGTCGGAGAATCTCAAATCCTACAGCCAGACTCCTTTTTGATTTGCAAAATGAGGCTTACAAAAATATATTGAGAATGAAAGTCAGAAATTGGTCAAGAAAAGCTAAATTAAAAATATATACAGAGTATTCTCCCGAAATGTTGAAAAGAGGCAAGTGTGTTTAGGAGATAAGCCCCAGGTGAGAAAATGAACCTTTCCAGTTTCAGCAAAAGCTGCTCTGGGGTGACTCTTTTTTTCTTTTTTTTTTTTTTCCTCTGGGATGACTCTCACTGCTTGTAAACAGGACACATTATTGACATTTAGTGGAAATCCAGAAGAGAAAAATATAGAGGGGGAGCAAGAATCTTGTAACAGCGCTGTCAACATCAACCCCCCTAGGTCAGCATTTCACTAGGATGGAAAAGAGACATTCTGAGGGAAAAAAATGCTGCCTTAGTACAGAAGTCACGCAGCTGTTTTCATAAGAGCAAAATAATGGTCAAAATGATGGTTTCAAAGAAATCAGGGTTGGGGTTTTCAGCTGAGGAGTTCATCACTGACTTGTTACAGCTGAGACAAACAGTTCAGGGAAGAGTTATGGTGGCCTCATGGGCTCCCCTGTTGGCTCGGTTGGGCTCCCGTGGGGGTGTGGCTAAGCAAGGTGTCATGAGCTACAGGTGTGTGCTTGATACCAGCTCCTCTTGGTCTTATTGACCTGGAGGGCATTTTCACTGGGATGTAGATGCTTGCATGTGTAAGTCTGTTAAGGGTTAATAGGAAGGCTGGGACCAAACCTGTGTGTTTATGGAGTAAATATACTCATCTAGGCATTTTCAGTGCCTTGCTTTGTTGTTTAAGCTACATTAACTATGATTTGGGGAAGAAAAAATGGCGCTTATATACTTACCTTGTTCTGGAGTGCTATTTGAGTATTGAAAATGTGATAAATTTAAAATTCTATCTAGGGAAAAGTGTGTTAAAAATGATGGTAACCATATAAGGGGGAAATTTTAAGGGGGGGGGGAAAGATTGTAGGGTTGAGTCGTGAAATAATAATTATGTCCTGCTACCATTGACTGCCATGCCCATGCCTACCATTATGGGGATGCTCAAGATGCAGTTAAGTCCAGCTACAATTCATGCTCCGGGTCGGGGCCTCAGACGGCCATAGCTGAGTCCAAGCATCCCCCCAAAAATTAAAAATACCAAATGTATGACACCACAGTTATGTGTGAGCATGGGCTGATTAGTCATTAGTCCATCGAGATGTCTTATTTAAGAGGAATGAGTGGGCGATTTTAGATGAGATGGCCCTGAAGAAAGAACCAGATGTCTGATAAAATTCATTAAATAGCTACCCCCACGGTGTATGGGCCCGGAGCGAGAAGAGGGATCCCTGCCAAGCGGGTTGCTGGTTTCACGCGGCATGGTAGTTAAGCTCGTGATCTAGGGGACGGGATACGCATGTTGACAAGAAAGGATTTGACTTAATGTGCTATGTACGATCAATAATAGTATGTACTATGTACTGTAAATAATGTCAAGTACTTGCTTATAAGCATGGGGCATATAATGTAATGTACTATTATACATAATATGTCTTAATACATTAATTCTATGTACTATAACCGTATAAGGTGGTATTGTGCATTTGTTATATAGTTTGTGTAGTTAATGGTATTTAAGATATAATATGGCTATTGAGTGCAAAACTGTATTAAATTCTTAAAGGTTTTTGGAAATTTAATACTGACAAGGCTCTTGAATTTTGTGGAGCTATATTAATATACGCCAGGGAATAGTTTAATTAGAACTTCAGCTTTGGGTGTTGATAGTGGGGCTATAGCTTCTTCCTTGAGTCTTAGGGAGATTAGTTATTCTCCTTTTCTGGTTTACAAGACCAGTGTATTAAGTGTACTACAAAGACCTATCCTCATTTTAGGAGATTATTTTCGATTGTGCTGGTAATTGGTATAAGTACTAGGATAATAAGAAAATATAGGATTGATGCTAGTTGTCCAATTGTAATAAAGGGATGTTCAACTGGTTGTCCTCCAATTCATGTGAGTGTTAGTAGATCTGCTACTAAAATTCAGAATAGACATTGGCTGAATGGTCGGAATATCATGCTGCGCTGTTTAGATGTGTGAAGTAGGGGTATAAGAATTAAGATTAGGATGGATGAGACTAGGGCTAGGACTCCTCCTAGTTTATTTGGAATTGATCGTAGGATTGCGTATGCGAATAGAAAGTATCATTCAGGTTTAATGTGAGGAGGGGTGTTAAGTGGATTTGCTGGGGTATAGTTGTCTGGGTCTCCTAGTAAGTCTGGTGCAAATAATACTAGTAGTATAAGGAAAAGAACTAGGAGTAGGACGCCTAGAATGTCTTTGATGGTATAGTAGGGATGGAATGGAATTTTATCTGCGTCTGATGGGATTCCTGTTGGATTGTTAGACCCTGTTTCGTGAAGGAAGAGCAAGTGGACTATAGCGAGTGCTGCGATAATAAATGGGAGAATAAAGTGGAAAGCGAAAAATCGGGTCAGAGTTGCTTTGTCTACGGAAAATCCCCCTCAAATCCATTCGACCAGGTTTGTGCCAATATATGGAATTGCTGAGAGGAGGTTTGTAATAACTGTTGCTCCTCAGAATGATATTTGTCCTCATGGTAGGACATATCCTACGAATGCTGTAGCTATTACTGTAAATAGGAGGATCACTCCAATATTTCATGTTTCTAGGAAGGTATATGATCCGTAGTATAGGCCTCGTCCTACATGTATAAATAAGCAGATGAAAAATATTGATGCTCCGTTGGCATGTATATATCGGATGATTCAGCCATAATTGACGTCTCAACAGATGTGGGTAACAGAGGAGAATGCTGTTATT